AGAAAGAAGAAAATAACGCCGATTAAAAACAATGAAGTGCATCGACAAAAGAATGCCGCCTTACTCCCAAACAAACCACAAACAAAACCACACCAAGTCCACCAAAACCTCGAAGTCAAGATACCTGCAATTGGGTGGGTAAAGAGCAGCATTGTTCTGGGCTGAGTAAGGTGAGTATTTATCCAGCAGCCAGATCATGATGCCCGTGACCACCAGCGCCGCCACTATGGACACCCACACCTCCGCCTTCAGGACGGTCATGAACTTGAACAAATTCTCCTGGCGTTGGCGTTTCCTGATCACTGGTGGGGATGGAGGGGGGTGTGGAGAGGTGGTGGGGTTACCGTATTTGGGGGTTGGGTTACTCGTATTTGGGGGGTTGGGTTACTCGTATTTCTTGGTTGTATTTGTAGAGAAAGAGGTGTGTTGATAGGTTTTGTGATTCGTTGAGTACGGTTAGAATGGACTGAGAGGCTGATAAAGCTTGATAGAATGATGGTAAAGAAGGATGTGTAGAGATGGATAAAATGTTATAGTTAAATATGAAGATACGTACGTACATACAGTACATGCACATACATATAAATGTAGATAGATAGAATAGTGTTCATTGCGACAAAGGTATAAAATGTATGAATGAGAATATCTTCACAGTGCAAGATATGTATTTGACCGGTATCGATTTTATCTTCTTCAGAAATGCATGGATTTCTGACAAAGATGTAATCGAAACCGATTAGATACATTCCTTGCTCATTCTCATTCATACTCTTTCCACATAGAATAGATAGATAGATACAAATATTATGTACTTTATTACCCATTTTCTTCCATAATGTGAATTTATACCATTGTATCAGGATATCCTCCAGGCAATCAGTATCTGATTTTTTGAATTTCTCATGTTATAATCTACGGTCATGCACACCTCATTTCACAGTCATGCAATAGAGCTGCGCATCTCCCATTATAATAAGTTATGCCGTTGGGTTAAGTTAAGTTTAGGTTAGGTATTCAAAACATATCTTCAAGCCTGAATGTGGATCATAACCTTGCATAAATTTTGTTAAAAGTAAATGAGAGGTCATGTCATGTCATTTCCCCGCCGACTCACCGATTGAGATGCCGGACTGGTCAAAGTACGGAGCCACGAAGTCTATCACTTCCTCTCTCTCTGAGGTCATGGTGAGGGGCGCTACGATGATGTCCGTGTTCTGATGTAGAAAGTGAGGTCACAGGAATTAGTTTTAATCATAGGTCAAATCCCGGAGCTTTTTTTTTATGTAAAATAGATTATTTTTAATTATCTTCCCCAATTTTCTTTCAGATTTTTGGTTTGTTTTTTGACTGAAAGGAAGAACGAAAATAATAAATGATTTCGATATGGATTAAATTATTAAATAAAGAGAAAAAACGTTCATCCAGGTAAAACTAAATTATGTACAAGCTTCCTATTTCTTCAACACGACTTTTTAAAACAAACAAATCCCCCCAAGAACTTAAATTTCGCATACATCCAAACGAAAACCATTCCTCCATCCACCGACCCCTTCCCCCGATTCCCTCCAAGCCGCTCACCCCGTTGGCCAGGTCACCGACGAGGCCGTTCCACGAGCCGTTCTTCTGCCGCGCCCCGTAGTGTCCGTCCGCCGGGAACACGAACTCGAAGTCGAACGTCATCAGCTCTGACAGCTTCTTGGAGAGCTCCACGCAGTAGCCCTCGTAGGCCGCCGCGCCGCCGCCCTCCTTCTTGTACACCCACGGCCGCGCCTCAACGGAAGGAAGGGGGAGGTATTCAGGAATGCGTTATATGGGTGGTGTGTGTGTGTGCGTGTGCAGACATAAATTTATACATGCACACACAAACATTTTATTTATTTTCATTTTTTATTTTTATTTATTTTTTATTATTTTTTTACTCCGTTTTATTTTGCTTTTATCTATATGCATTTTTGTATGTTTGTGTGTATGATAGTGAACTATTTAAATGCTTCCCAGATAATGCAATCATCTTTATTCTTCTTTTGATTCCGTAATCAAAAATCCCCCCACCCACCCAAAAAGAAAGCCATTTACCCCAAACCCCTCTTACAACCTCACACACAACCCCTTCCCTTTTCCCTTTAACACGCCCCTATCCCCAAGCATCCAAGGGAGAGTAAATCCTCCTACCATAACCGTTCCGATCCTGAAGAACCTCCTGATGGGGGAGTGCTCGTAGTTGGGGTTCAGCGTCAGGAGGGAACTCGACGCCCAGGTTCCCACTGCCACGCTGGTCGAGCTGTTGATGGCCGTGATGGCGAACTCGAGCTGGGGCGTCATCTGCATCTTGTTCGTCGACCATACCATGTTGTGATACCAAGAGCTCCTGTAGAAGGCGGCGAGGGAGAGGAGTGAGTGGAGAGAGGGAGAGAGAGTAGCTGTGGAAGTTTTCTCTTTTAAGTGCATAGAGATTAACGTCTATTAAAATGTGTCTACAGGAATGTTAACATTTTATTAT